ATATTGTTAAAGGGATTGGAAAGAGGGTAGTTGCTGGAAGATTTTATGCAAGATATTTTGCGAGGTATGTTTTTTTATTTCCATTGTAGAATATTTTCTGTGTTAGCCAATAGTTTAAAAGAAGTAGTTTAGCTTGGTAAGAATGTCACTAGGTTTAGCCCGCAACTTCGTCCATGAGGAAATAAACTATTGTTTACTCTGTGCCAAATTTCATCAAGATCTATTATGTGGTTTTGGATAGTGCCAAAAATCCATATATCCAAAGTTACACATTTAAAATGTAAAATAAGAAGTATTACAATAATTTTATTTTTTAATTGATCCTGCTAACAAGTCAACACTATTTTATATTAATATAAGATAGGAATGGGAAGTCCTTTTAACGATAGTATAGTAGTTTTTTAGTTAATGTAATACCTTGTTATCAGGGAGGATAACGAGCTTGGATCGGAGACTCGTGTTTTAACGACTGAAGCGAGTGTACCTAGATCACCCACGCGCTCTCGGCTCCGCTCTCTTGATATATTCAGAGGGTTCTGTATTGCTCTTATGGTAAATATTGAAAAATATCTCTTTTTAAAAGATACCAAAAGACAAATTAACTCACTTGAATGTTATAGATAAGTTAATTCTGTTTTCCTCTCTTTTGGTATCAGAAAGTTCCAGAAGATGAATTAATTTTTGTAGTAAAATAACATATTTAGTGACTTGTAGAATTTTGCAACAGCTCCAATGTCAAGCACTGTTTTTGTATTTTTTTTTGTATTCAACTACCTTTCGTTCGCGACTCCGTCCGCATGGAATTAAAAAAAAAAGAAAGTGAATAGCCTATGTGTTCTTCCAGACTATCCTCTACATCTATACGAAATTCCATCGAAATCTGTTAACCCGTTAAGGCTACAAACTCTAACAAACATCCATCCATCCATCTAAACTTTTGCATTTATAATATTACTATGATATATATATATAATTTTTTTTTGTTGGTGGTGTTTTTTGTTAACTCCATTGAAATTTGTACAGTGGTTTAGAAAAGCATTATGTTTTTACAGATCTTTGTGAATGCCGGTGGCGGTGGCTATGGTATCTTCAAGCACTCTGTATGGAACGGTCTGACGGTCGCTGATGTGGTGTTCCCCTGGTTCGCGTTTGCGATGGGCGAAGCCCTAGTGCTGTCGCTGCATGCCAGACTTAGAACTTCGCTACCGAGACTCTCAGCGTTTGGTCAGGTATGTGTAAACGTTTTTAACTGCTCTTAACTGCTGATTGAATATTCCATTGTTATTCTATGTTACTCACAGATATATAACCTTTCTAATGATGAAAGAATTTTTAAAATCAGCCCAGTAGTTTTTGAGTTTTTTCAATACAATCAAAAATACAAATCTTTCCTTTTATATTAGTGTAGATGTTTTACAATTAAATTGATTTTCTACTAGCTGCTGCTCGTGACTTGGTCTGAAATATAAAAAAAAACAGGGCCTATGTTACTGATAACATAGATTTTTAATGGTGAAAGAATTGAAAGCGATCCAGTAGTTTTCGATTTATTTCAATACATTTACAAAATACAAATCTTTATTATATTAGTATGAGAACGTAGGTGGCTCAGTGGTTTATGCAATTGACTTGTAATCTACATGTCTTGGATTCGAATCCCGCCATGTACCAATATGATTTTAGATTTTTCGAATTTTCATATGTACATAATTAACCTGACGTTCTTACGGTGAAGGAAAACATCGTGATGACTGCACATATCGGCAAAGAAATTCAAAGACATGTTGTGAAGTCAACTAACCCGCACTGGGCCAGCGTCGTTGACTATGGCTGAACGGATTTCGATGAAATTTGGTATGGATATAGAGGATAGTGTGAAAGAACACATAGGCTACTCGCTTTTGTTTTTTTTTTTAATTTCGCGCGGATGGAGTTGCCTGCGAAAGCTAGTCTTACTTCTTACTAAATGTGAAAGTTTAGATGGATGGATGGATGTTTTTTAGAGTTTGTAGCCTAAACGGCTGAACGAATCTCCATGAAATTTGGCACAGGATTAGAGAATAGTCTGGAAGAACACATAGGCTACTTTTTATCCCGGGAATACTTACGGTTCCCGTGGGGTTCATTAATTTAGTTTTTTAATGCTTACTCAATCATTCTGCAACGGTTCAACATATCTTATTAAAATTTGGCACAGATATAAAACAAAGTCTGGAGTACACATGGGATTAGGTTCATTCCCGAGAAATGTCCGGTTCCCGAGGGATACGCAGCTTTTTGTTATTTATATAGTTAGTATGTTTTCTAATACCACGCGGACGAAGTCGCGAGCAACAGCTAGTTTTTTATAAATGAAATGTGAATGGGGCATAAATT